GAATAAGGAAAGAACAGCAAACGCTAGTTTTTTCAGTTGATTATATGAGTCAGGAATACTATTCCAGGTGTTAAAAATCAACATATCTTCCTTCTCCAGGTCTTTCAAAGCAGACCACTTGTACTGTGAACTAAGTTCACATTTGTTTTTCTCCAATATTTCTTTATCAGCACAAAGACGTTCAAATTTCAAGCTCCACAGTTCTTTGTTTTTTAAATCCAGCAATTGCATTTCAAAGTTGCCAATGTCAATATAATAATAAAGCCACCAACACAAAATAATTACTATTCTTAAATTGATGACAAAAATACCTGTAGGATTTGCAGCTGGTTGGAAAAATACAGGTAATTTTATGCTTCGAGTAGGTACTTTTGTCACCTGCACGCGATTGGCGGACGCAACTAGCACTAACCACTGCACATGAGATTGCTGACTGACTGGCTCACTCAACTCATTCATGAACCGCGCGCGCCTCACCTCCCCCGTGCCGTGTATCCCGCGTCTCCCGTCACGCAACCGACGGACACCCAACCGACCGACCGACCGACACCCCCCACTTCTTCTAAGGCCACTTCTTCAAAATAGACTCGCCCAGGCCGAAAACCAACTTCTGTGCATGGGCCACGAAGTTTCAATCACACTGTACGTGTGCGCCCACACGTGGTATTTTGTGGAAGAGCCACACTCAAGGAGCCAAAGAGCCGCATGTGGCTCATGAGCTGTGGTTTGCCGACCACTGTCCTAGAGTATATACCTAAAAATGGACTTATAGGGTAAATGCTCCATCAACTTTACTAGGTAAGACCAAATTGTTTTCCAAAGTGGTTATCTGATTTTTAATATCACCAACAATATGTAAGTGTTCTGGACGTTCCATTTTCTCTCCAACACAATATTATTAAGACTTTAAATATTTTGCCAATCTGGCAGGCATATATATTAAAATGATAAAGCCTTGTCATTTATTGATTGACTTCTTTGTGCTAAGCAAAGTGGCAGACATTTTCATACCTTATTTAATTTTATCCTCTCTCAACTCTTCCTCTCAACCCCATAATGGGAACTAATGCCGTTCTTAGTGTGTAACACATAATTACCCCTCAACCTCTCTCTGAAAAATTTATTTCTTAGTGGGTCTTTCTCTTTCACGTAGCTGCCTAATTTTTTATTTCCTGTTTTATTATTTTTTTTTGTTAAATCTTTATTGTTCAGATTATTACAGTTGTTCCTCT